AAAAAACACATTATTTTCCACATAATGTACATTATTGTTTCTCCTCAATGCCCCGACCTTTCTGAAACGCGTCGATTTTACAAAGCTCATCGGTCTTAAAAAATGAGTTGTGCTCTGATTGGTCAGCTATCCAGTGCGTTGTGATTGGCCGAATACCTCAAGCGTGTGATGGAAATGTTACGCCCCTCACCATACTGTGATGCCCTGTCCGGCCGGAGTAACGAGACAAAGATGTGGGGGCGTGTTAGAACGAGCCGTTTTAGGTAGGCGTGGTTGACTCTTTACTTTTATAAAGAATATCTCTTTGGATTTGAGACTTTAGTCTTTGCAACTTTACAGAGCTTGTAACACTTCAAAGAGAAAGGAAAAATTGAAATCGCATCATATGACCCCTTTAAAATGTCCCTGACAACATTGATTGGCAGCCACACTATTTGATTGGGATTTGGCCTTATTTTCTTTAGACCTATTTGCATTCTAAATTAAGATTAGTCTTCCTGCCTTGAACATAAGCTTTAACATGGTTTTGCTTCAGGAAGTCTACATTTCTAAAACTGTGGTTTACATGTTTCTACCAGGTTCAGTTTGCAGAGCAGTGAATGTGAAAACTGTTAAATAATTCCATCTCTGTTTTCTCGCCAGTCGTCTTCTCTCATCTCCAACGCAACAGCTACCGCTCTGCTCAGCATGGGAGCGATAGACTACTGCCTGCATGTGCTCAAATCCCTGCTGGAGTTCTGGAAGACTCAGCAGGGTGAGGAGGAGCCAGCGGCCACCAGTCAGCTCCTAAAACCCCACACTTCCTCCTCACCCCCAGACATGAGCCCCTTCTTCCTGCGCCAGTATGTCAAGGTACAGGCTGGGTCTTAAAAAGCTTGCGAGGATAATCTTGCTAGGATAAAATATATCATGATCCCTAAATTATGGGTGTTTTTCAGGGCCATGCTGCTGATGTGTTTGAAGCATACTCTCAGCTTCTCACTGAGATGGTCCTCCGACTGCCGTACCAGATCAAGAAAATCGCCGACGCCAACCCGCGCATCCCACCGCCAATCTTTGATCACTCCTGGTTCTATTTCCTGTCAGAGGTAATGCACGTAATTCACTTTTGACCTGTGCTGAAGCATTTTCAATTAATAATTTAGCATGTATCAACTTTCTTCAATCATCTTCCAGTATCTGATGATCCAGCAGACGCCATTCGTGAGGCGACAAGTGCGGAAGCTCCTGCTTTTCATCTGCGGATCCAAAGAGAAGTACCGTCAACTCAGAGACCTCCATACGCTTGACTCCCACATGCGTGGCATCAAGAAGCTTCTGGAGGAGCAGGGCATCTTCCTGAGGGGAGGAATTGTCACTGCGACATCTGGCTCCGCTCTACAGTATGACACTCTCATTAGTCTGGTGAGTAACAAGCTTGTGCGATGCCCTATGAATTTGACTCTTATTTGAGTTTGGATTTGCATGAACTTCCTTTTACTTTTACACAGATGGAGCACCTTAAAGCTTGTGCTGAAATTGCCACTCAGAGAACGATCAACTGGCAGAAGTTCTGCATGAAGGATGACTGTAAGTGCACAATGTGTCGTACATTAACATTTATGCATTTGGAAGATGCTTTTATCCAAAGCGACTTGCATTTGCAGTTCTTGCTTTCCCAAGGAATCAAACCATTGACCTTAGCGTTAGCGCCATGCTCAACATTTTCAGTTACAGAAAGGCTTAGCTATTCTAGTTCTCCTAGTTGTAATGTCACTTGTGGTACTAATCGAATTCTCTCTCTGTGTAGCGGTGTTGTACTTCCTGCTGCAAGTCAGTTTCCTGGTGGATGAGGGTGTTTCTCCAGTCCTGCTGCAGCTGCTCTCTTGCGCTTTATGTGGCAGTAAAGTCCTGGCGGCCTCCTCTGGAGCTTCAGGTGGAGGTTCATCTCAGCCCTCTCAGAGCAAATCCTCCAGCAAGAAGAGCAAGAAAGAGGATAAGGAAAAAGACAAAGAAGGTTTGATGACTGATGATATTTGAGCATTACACAACTATCATTTAGAATTAATTTTTAAAAAAAAAGTTCCATGACACTTTTCTCAATGTTCCTGTTTGTGTTTTCTGCAGGAGATGGAGCTGGCAGTCAGGAAGATCAGCTATGTATGGCTCTGGTCAGTCAGCTCAATAAATTTGCAGATAAGGAGACACTTATTCAGTTCCTGCGTTGCTTCCTGCTCGAGTCCAACTCTTCATCTGTGCGCTGGCAAGCCCACTGCCTCACGCTGCATATCTACAGGTACTTAGCTACTAGATGCGAACACCTTCCATAAACACACTCTCTCGTGTCCTGTGCTTTGAGCTTGATCCAGAAGTTCCATCATGTTAAATCAAATGAATGTTTGCTTTGCAGGAACTCAAACAAATCCCAGCAGGAGTTGCTGCTCGACCTAATGTGGGCCATTTGGCCAGAACTACCCGCTTATGGTCGTAAAGCAGCTCAGTTTGTGGACCTGCTCGGATACTTCTCCCTTAAAACACCTCAAACGGAAAAGAAGGTAGTGATACTTGAATATGTGATTTTATATTAAATGACTGGGTAGAATTTGATTTATAATTTATGAACATACACTGCCATTGAAAAGTTTGGGGTCAGAATAGGATAGGCTTTAAACAAAAAATGTTTTTAAATGTCTCTTATTCTCACCAAGGTTGCATTTATTTGATCAAAAATACAGTAAAAACAGTAATATTGTGAAATACCGTTTTTCTATTTTAATATATTTCAAAAGGTAATTACATTTAACAGCTGTGCTCCTTAATATTTTTGTGAAAACCGTGATGCATTTTTTTGATCAATGTAATGCATCCTTGCTGTGTAAAAGTATACATTTCTTTCAAAAGAAAAAATGTTTTAAAAAAAATCTCAAACTTTCGTATGGTAGTGTATTAGGTTAGTGATTTACAAGATTGAAAATGTTGGTGTGAGTGTTTTGCATTGCAATTAGTGTTTTGATTTTGTGTTTTCCAGCTGAAGGAATACTCTCAAAAGGCTGGAGAAATTTTGAGGGCACAGAACCACATCCTGACCAATCATCCCAATTCAAACATATACAAGTAAGAGTATCCAGCATGCTCTCATTGAGGTATTTTGGGTCATAGATGTGATAACATCCCTGAATTTTTCATCTCTTCACACTTATCTTCTCAGCACCCTGTCTGGACTGGTGGAATTTGATGGATTTTACCTGGAGAGTGATCCCTGTTTAGTGTGCAACAATCCTGAAGTGCCCTTCTCTGTGAGTAACGTTCATGACATGTCACTTTTAATGGTTGTTTTAGTTGCTGTGGTTCTAAATGGTGGCCTGCTTTATTCCCTGTTCTCTTAGAACATCAAACTCTCATCTATCAAAGTGGACACACGTTACACCACCACTCAGCAAGTGGTGAAGCTGATTGGCAGCCACACTATCAGCAAAGTCACTGTGAAGATTGGCGATCTCAAGAGAACCAAGATGGTTCGCACAATCAACCTCTACTACAACAACAGGACCGTCCAGGCCATAGTAGAGCTGAAGAACAAGTGAGCATGCTAATCAGACTCTTAAAAATATCAATTTTTTGGAACCGTGTTCGTAGACATTTGATACATTAAAATAATTTGAAATTTTGTGTTCACAGACCTGCTCGCTGGCACAAAGCTAAGAAGGTGCAGTTAACTCCTGGCCAAACTGAAGTGAAGATCGACCTCCCTCTCCCCATTGTGGCCTCCAACTTGATGATCGAATTCTCTGATTTCTATGAGAACTACCAGGCATCTACGGAGACCCTGCAGTGTCCGCGTTGCAGCGCCTCTGTCCCTGCCAACCCAGGGGTCTGTGGCAACTGTGGAGAGAATGTGTATCAGTGCCACAAGTGCAGGTACGCATGTGTTGGATGTTGTACAAAGACCCAAGAAAACTGACAGAATTGCACTGAAATAAAGATTGTAATTGTCTGTTTTGAATACTCTAGATCCATTAATTACGACGAGAAGGACCCGTTCCTGTGCAATGCCTGTGGTTTCTGTAAATATGCACGCTTTGACTTCATGCTGTATGCAAAACCCTGCTGTGCTGTGGATCCTATAGAAAATGAAGAGGATAGGAAAAAGGTATTGCAGGCATAAATATCTAATGTATATAAATAACTGTCCAGTTATGTAGACTGTGTAATGTAAAACAGGAATGTCTACAGCAACAACAGAAAACGAGAGATGCAAACAGACCTGGTCAAGTTAGGAATAGTCTAAATGTAAAAATACATGCTGAAATTTCATCTGAAGTCCACTTACTAAAACATATGTTAATGATTTATTGTGTTCAGGCTGTGACCAACATCAACACTCTACTCGACAAGGCTGACCGCGTTTACCACCAGCTCATGGGTCACCGGCCGCAGCTGGAGAGTCTGTTGTCCAAAGTAAATGAGGCTGCACCTGAGAAACCACAGGTCAGTCTGACAGCTTCTGCTTCAGATAGATCAATGACTTTTCTCTCTTGAATTACCCAAATTTGTTTTGGGTGTGGTGTTCATGATTTCATGGCACTTCACAGGATGATACAGGAGCAGGCGCTGGTCTCGGTACCTCCACTGCCAGTGTCAATCGGTACATTCATCAGCTGGCACAGGAATACAGCGGAGACTGCAAGACTTCATTCGATGAGCTCTCCAAAATCATCCAGGTTAGAGTTAAATAGAGCTGTTACTATATCAGAATGGTAGTCGAGAACAATACCAGAGAATTTTCACATTCCTACCGCAACAAATTTTAGTAGCAACTAATATGCTATTGAACTTAAATAATTTTATGTAAACATTTAATCATAAATTAATTAAAATATTTAAAATGTATTAAATTAATTTTAATATTAAATGACAACAGTAATAATAATTACTATTACAATTGTTGTTGTTAAAATCTATTATTATTGTTTTTTAATAGTAATTTTTATTATTATTAATTATATAATTAGCTATTTATGTGTCTTGTGTTGATGATAATTTATTAAAATATATATTGCCATTGCTATTATTTTTTATAATATTAATGTTATTATTATATTATCTATCTATGTTGTTTAAGTGTTGATAATTATTAAATTTTTTCATTATTTTATCATTTATTTATGCAGCTTATATATTATATTATAATTTAATATAATTAGAAATAACAATTAAATGTGTGTAATAGCATAATAAAGTTAAATAATATTAATATTTAAGTAATATAATAATAATTAAATAATATTATCATAAAATGGTTGTTGTAAAGTCTGTTTTTATTACTCATTCAGAAAGTGCTTGCATCGCGTAAGGAGCTGCTGGAGTATGACCTGCAACAGCGGGAAGCTGCTACCAAATCATCCCGCACCTCCACCCAACCCACCTTCACAGCAAGCCAGTATCGAGCGCTCTCTGTGCTGGGATGTGGATACACGTCCT